GCAGTGTTCAGACAGTGCCATTTGCTTAGGAAGCCTGGAAAAGTTCTGCCTCAGACCAAGGAGAAATACTTCTGTTGATCCTCACAACTACTTTCAAGTAGAGGTAAAGTGTCAAGCTGTTCTCATCCCAGAAAGGGCACGTGAAGAACATGCTCTCCCATTCTGTGCATTTACCTGTTGCGTCACCAGAAGCTAGCAGTAAGCCTGCATTCCATGCTAGAATTTCTCAACTGACTCAACCACCATGCCAGACAGACTAGTCACAAGGACCCAATTGCTGGAGCATTAACATGCCCTCTATGAAAAAAAAACAACAGGTAGCAGCTTAGTGTATATGGCACTAGTTCCACTCCAGTACCCCTCAATAGTATGTATATAGGTGCTTCTGGATGAAAATGTTAAATTACTTAAGTCTCTGAAATGAAATATTGTTGGGGAGGTGGGTAATGAGGCCACTCTCTACTGAGGAGATTATTATAGTCAGATAGGAAAGGGTCATGGGGCTCCATTCTTCTTCAAGTGTCTAGAAGCAGTTAATGTTACTAAGGGAGAGACTTTCTTTTTCAAAAGTGTAGCCACTGGTAAATTGCTCATACTCTTGTAAGTAACCGTAATTGAATTCACTGGTTTCACACACAAGAAAAGACATGAAGTAGTTGGGAAAATGGGATAAGTGGGAGGAAGAGGAGAATAAGAGTTGGTAATGAAATAAACATGGTAAAAATATATTTGTATAAAAATGTTATAATGAAGTCCATTATCTATACTTAATGTATGAAATGAGCCCAAAGAAGCCAGGTATAGTGGCTCATGCCTGTGATCTCAGCACTTGGGAGGCTGGGAAAGGATTGCCCTGGACTATAGGATAAGACTTTTTTGTCTTAACAAAAGAGAAAAAAAAGTACATTGGAGGGCAGCCGGGCATGGAAGCCACACACCTTTAATCCCAGTACTCAGGGAGGCAGAGACAGGTGGATTGCTGTAAGTTCAAGGTCAGCCTGATCTATAAATCAAGTCCAGGACAGCCAAGGCTACACAGAGAAACCCTGTCTCAAAACAAACAAACAAAAAAACCCTCAGTAGTTAAAAGTCCACTGGGATACACCTGTAACTCCAGCCCTTGGAAGGGTGGGAACAGAGAAGTGTATGTTCAGTGTCATACTTGGTTATATTACCATATTTGAGATCTGATTGAACTACAGAAGACCCAGTCTCAAAACCAAACACCTCTTCCTCCCAAAAGCACTTACACATTTGTGCATGTTTCTAGAAAACAAGGCAATTTGATACTTTTGTTTTTTATGGAATGGTGTCTTACTTCTTAGCCTTTTGACTAAGATCAAGTGGATCTGACTGTGTTGTCCAGGCTAATCCCAAACTTCAGCCTCAGAATAGCAGGGACTTAGAGGCAGGTCCCACTTTATTCAGTTCACTGAAAGATTCCTCCCTTTCCATTCCCACAGGGCTTGGTTATAAGAGTATAAGAATGAGAGATGTGTGCCATTATCCCCCACCCCCATCATGTCCTCCTGATGCAGGATCCAGTTGGACTGCCTGGCTTTGTTCTTGGCAGGCTAATTACATTTTTGGGCCCCATTTTCCTCATGGGACAATACATTTCATTCATGGTGTCTGAAGATTTAAATGAGATTATGTACTCTGTTCTTGGCACACGTGCCCAGTCTACAAGAGCTCTTTAGGAACCATTGGTTATTGGAAGGTTTCAGGGTCAGTCCAGAGAAACATCGCAGAAGTCTTGGGACTGAAAAATGTATAGTGCCTCTACCACTGTGCAAAGCTAAATTCACTTTGCTTCATATACAGCTGGTGTGCTCTAAGTATTCATGATCTTCACTGTCAGCCAGTGCCTGCCAGTGTTCCTCCCAACCTCATTTAGAGAGTAGGAAGCTGTACTTGGACCCATGGTTAGGAAACCTGTGTCTATCCAGGTCACCAGGACTACACAGTGAGACCCTGTCTCAATAACAAACCCACAACACACACACACACACATAGCTTTACAGGGGTTTTTATTATTGGAGACCCAGTCATGCATACTAAAATTACATATTTTCACCACTTAGAAAAATGCACTAGAAAAATAAACTTTTGGTCAAAACAAACACTGAAGTAGATGAATCCACCACATGTGCCTATACTCAAAGCCAAACTGAATTTCAGTTTGAAGTAAGGGGCTAAAATGGTGGCCTAGACTGGTCAGGAAAATAGCCCAGTTCCCACCCATCAGAGAGGGTATTGGAGGTCTTGGCCACTGAGAAGTTTCAAGTATTTTATCTGTTGGGTTTCTGTGTAATATACCAAGAAGCTGAGGCACATCCACAAGAATTCAAAGCAGCTACCACTAACTGCCTGATAGAAAAAGCCTCCAGTGAGATTGAAAACACACCCATGGGCCCTCAGGTAATTGAAAATCAGTAAATTTGTGGTTACAAAACAGTAAATATGACATCAGCTGCAAGTCATACTGGACCTTCCTGGGAGCAAGTTCCCATTAAGAAGAAATAGTTGACTGTGCTTCTTGCATTTGAAGCTGAGCATTTCTGAATCGTGAGAGCAAAAAGAAATTTACTTGAGATTTACAAAGTGAACGGATGGCAAAAACTGAGAAGCCTTAGCAAGATGCCTGTTCTGAGCAGTGTTTGGTGTTCCTGCCTGACATGACCAGGCACAACTACACTTTTTATCAACTGAGTTAGCATTTTCCTTCCTAAAGGAGGTTTCACAAGAAAACCTGAAGTGCTGATGACTTCAAGATGAGGTATTATAATAATGACAACAGCAGTGTAGCTGTTGCTGTCCAAATGAAAAAGCAAGTTCCATGAAAGACCAGGATGAAATGACCTCTGCCCAAACTGCCTGCCAGGTAATAAAGCTGTCTCAGATATTCAGAGAAAATGTTTCTCCAAGTCTGAAGAAACTGCCCTGTAACCTGAGGTGTTTACAAACCTAGGATGAGATGTAAGTGGTTCAAACCCACCTGAAAGCATTTCTGGCTGATTCTCTGGATTTTATCTGTATCCCTACATGAAGGCAGAATCATTTTCAAGGAAGCCGAATTTCCTTGAAGTCTATAGTGGACTTGGGCAAGAGAAGAAAACTATATTCCCACACTAATATAGTTTAAGCAACAACTCACTTGACCTACATTCTTAAATAACCTTGATTTTGGAGGGGGGTGCTTATAAGAAAAGCAGAGTAGAGTATCCTTATGGCTAGAAAGCCAGTTAGGAACAGGGTTCATACTTGAGTGTACAAGCCTCTGTCCAATGCTCAAGGTACTAAGTGCCACACTCAAGGTTGTGCATGAAGATAAAGCTAGAACACACTTCTATTTCACTATCCTTTTTCCCTCCCAATACCACATGACCTTAAGTTTTAGGAAAAGTTCATTTCCCGCTGTCTGAAATATCTACAGCTTTACCCTACAGTCGGAACTCACAAAGTTCTTGCTTAGTGGCTCTATCACTGTGTTCCCGTCAACTGAGGCCTGCTGCATCTCTGCTGCTCAGCATATGAGTTGCTTTATTTTGTACCAGGAGGTCTTGGTCTCATAGCCTGCTTCAAACCTGAGGTCCTAAAACTGATTTCTCCAGACTCAGCAAGCAGCAGAGCAGCTGGGGGAGACAGCAGATCCAGCTTCCTCAGAGGCCTGATGGAATGGCTTCCTCTTGGTAACCAGAAAGACCTTACAAATGGGCAGAATGTCTGCTCCAAGATTTCTCCCCATAAGCCTAACTGTCACTTTGTTAAGTTGAAAAGACAACTACATAGTTACATGAGAGGACCTAAACCAGGCAACCTCAGGGATTGATCTTTACCTTTGACTTTTTTTCCTCCTGCTATCTTACCCCTTAGGACCTAGATTCTCCCATCCATGCTGCTTAGTTCGGAGCCATCATGGGCCTTTTCAGATGTCTGAGTGGTTGTCCTTTAGGCAGAAAACCTGCCAGGAGCTAAATCAAATAGCAGAAACTCAGCAGCAAATTGTCTCCATGGGTATTCAAGAAGGGATGTTTTGGCACTTGAGCTTAGGCAGGACCTAAAAGATCAAGGATTAGCATCTACAGTGAAAAGAATGCCCCCCAGAATTGGCATTAGTGAGGTAAGTTTCCCTAAGAGCTTCTGCAGAAGTTTTGGGAAATGCTGTAAGGGTGGAACAGTTTAGTAACAACCGACTGACCTTTGACTCTCAAAGCACTGTCTGTAAGGTCTATGCAGTACCTGCTTAGTCTAGTAAATGCACAACCAACAATACTTGACACTATTTAACACCATAATATGTGATGAATACCAAAGGAAACAGGTCTAAAACCAGGAGATAAATCATCTCACTCAATGCTTGGGTTAAGGCTAAAATCTTAACAGGTATCTAAAGTGCCCAAATGCAGAGCTAACATTCTGGCCTACCAGTCCTCCCACACTAGATAAACACTCTATCATGTCTGGGAGGGCAGGCCCCCTAGGTGAACCAGCAATAGCCTGCCCCGGTGTGTTTCTAGGGACAAAAACTGAGGAAGCCCAAATCTGGCAATTACTATGGCTGTTTCTAATATACTAGTAGTGTCTCCAGGATGGAAGGAGTTTGTACAAGATTTGTGTACAAGAGTTGGTCAGCCTCACAAAAGCCATCCCTTTCAAGCTTACCCATCATTCTTTAAAAGTAGTTGGTTACCACCAAGCCCCAGGAACATACTAGTTTCTTTAAAGGCAGGGCCAAATGGTGATACTCCTTTACATAAGGCGCATATATATATATATATATATATATATATCTATATAAGACCCCAAGAAAAAACCTAATGATTTTAGCACCCCCAAAGGCCCTCATTCCATTTAGCCTCACTTCAGAAATAGTAAGCTGAGATTTCTGTCTTATCCAGTCACACTGACTCCTAGTCCAAATGCTTTTAGCCATACAGTACTAGAATCCAGTATTTTATGTTGACCTGTATGATTCCATAGAGAACCAGAGCTAAGGCTTTATGGGTCTGAGAAGTTTCTATTGCAAAATTCAATCCTGGAAGCCTCTGGCTTCCAAATTTGATCATTAAGAACTGCCCGTGTCCTGTTATTTCTACTGTTCAGTTAACAGTGCTTTCCAGGCCCAGCCAAGGACAACTAGGTCCTGAACCTTTAACTTTGCTGATGATGTGCAACAGCGGTCAACACCTAGGGCTTATGAGAAAGAGACTCAAAAGTCCCATATGTGGCCACCTTTCAGGATTGGCAATTTCTTCAGAGTTATGACCAAATTGCTTCAGTGTTCCAAATTGCTTCAATCAGGTTGTCTTCTGGTCACTTCAGAGTGACTTTGACTCTGGTTGCTTCCAAGATGCATAAGAAACAGATAGAGCTTCCAGACTAACAGGTCCAAACATTTGGGAATCACCAGGGCAATTTCCATATCCTCCCTGGAATAACCCGGGTAGTCAAAGGTCTGCCTGCGATGGGCTTGCCCTTGAATCTCTATAGGCAGCTCCGTGCTGCTGTATAATGATGGAGCGAGACTGAGGCCTTCGCATCTTAGGCCGTGTGCATTTCTAAGGAAGGGATTGTGCAGGGTGACTCTCCCAGCAGAGTGCTAATAGCAGGAGTAGAGCTGGGACTTGACGGCTCGCATGGAATCATCACACTGTGCATCTGAGATCAGCCCTTCAGTTGGCAAGGGCTGCCCCAGGAGACTATCGCAGGCAGGCACAGGCTGGCAGAACTCTTTTACAAAATCATCCTCTGAGGCCAGCAGCACTGCGTTCCAGGTAGCAGTGTCCAGCTCTCCAGCTGTGCCCCCATACTCCTTGGGGAGGATATTCCTTGGAAGGTTTGTGTGGAGAGAGTTCAGGTCAGACCCATGGAGGAAGAACTAAAACAGAACATTGTAAAAAGCAGACTCAGCAGCTGTGATCATGGGCACAAATAGCCCTTCAACATTCCATTATGGGGATGGGGGAGCATGAGGACCACTCCTTCCTGAGGCTCTATAAGCAGTTAATGGTTGCTAGGGGAGGGGGGAGACATTTTCTTCAGTGTCACCGCCACTGATAAGAGCTCATATTCATGACATTGTAAGTAACCCTAAACAAACTCTTGGGTCACCAAAACAGACAAAAAAGACATGAGGAAAAGGCTCAGTGGGAGTGAGGAGGACAAGAGAGTAACAGGGAATGAAAATGCCATAAAGAAACTGATTATTGTGTATTAATATTGCTAATTGTGCTGATAAGTTGTTATTTTGTCAACTTGATACAACCTAGAATCATCTGAGAAGGGAGAACCTCAATTGAGAAAATACTCCCATCAGATTGGCCCATGGGACATTTTCCTGATTGATGACTAATGTGGGAAGGCTCAAACCACTGCAGGCATTGCCATCCCTGGGAAGGTGGTTCTGGGTATATAAAATAGCAAACAGGGCAAGCCTGAGGAACAATCCAGTAAGCAGTATTCCTCCAGAGTCTGTCTTAGTTCTTCCCTCCAGGTTCCTGCCTTGGCTTCCCTCAGTGCACTGAGAGCAGAGATAAGTAAAGCCAGATACTCTTTCCTCCCAAGATCCTTTTGGTTATGGGCTTATCACAGTAACAGAAACCTAAGACACTAATAATTTTTGTTGTTGTTTGCTTTTCGAGCAGCCTTGGCTGTCCTGGACTCTCTTGGTAGACCAGGCTGGCCTCAAACATACACATATTCTGCCTCTGCCTCCTTGGGTGCTGAGATTATAGGCGTGCACCATCACGTCTGGCTATAAAAATTTTCTTTAAGCACAGACAAATATGTGCAGGGGAATCAGTAATGAAACAATCTCCCTGTGATGGGTGCTCAAATAAATATGCTCTCAGTGAAGAAATTTCCTCAGCCCCAGGAGCCGGGACTGTATCCTCTTCCACATTCCACTGAGTGGACCCCCACTACAGCCATGATGTGACTTCACTCCCCCCTACCAGTCCTGTGCCACCATCATTTCTCCGAGCTCCATCTGTCTCCTGCCTGGCCTCTCAATTTCTAGCTTTGTCTTAGTACAGTCCCCTCCTTTCAGTGTGGCTCAGGTAATGTCACAATATTTATAGTCTTCTGATGTTCCCACCTCACAGGCCCACAAGGCCTGTTACATACTGGCGCTTTAGTTTTTCAGGCTTCAACCATTTTCTCCATTACTCAGCTCCAGCCACGCCAGCTTCCTACCTGCTCACCCAGCATGCTGGGCACCCCTCCTGCGCTTCAACATCATACTGTGTTGGTCTCCCAACTGTATGACTTACTCCCTCACCTCACAAGTCTCAATGGCACCAGCTTTCACTACCCTAGTGAGTGCACAACCCCTTCATTACACAATTAATCCACTCTCTGTGTGTCTTTCCAGAGTGAGAATCTTTGGGCAGGAATTTGGGCCTGTTCTTCCCATGTTTCATGGAGAAGTTGATCGATTATACTTTTGAATGTGTCAGCACAGAAGGGAGCAAATGAACAGCATTGTGGACCACAAATAACACAATTTCAAAGATGGAAAAAATCTCTCCAAAGGCTGCATGGTAAAATGCAAATAGTCTTTAGGAATTGTGATAGGTACTGTTAATCGTCAAAGTGGCAGAATCACTTGGTTGACAGGCCTCTGGGCATGCCTGTGGAGATTATCTTCATTGCTGTCTTTACTTCCTCACTGTGAGCCAAAGTAAACCCCTTTGTTCCTTAAGTGGCTCTTGGGTGTTTTATGACAGCAGCAGAAAGGTAGGACAGGAACCAACATGGATTCATACCCAACCAGTAGTGCTCAAGTCTTAACTGCACAGAATGACTGAGGATCTTTACACTCATACCATGCTCCACTCCGCTCTGTTAATAGGAAGGGCCTGGGAATCTAGATCTAAAGTTTTAGCTCTGTTTATGTCCTCCTCCTCCTCCTCCTTTTCTTCTTCTTCTTCTTAGGTTTTTTGAGACAGAGTTTCATTGTGTAGCGCTGGCTGTCCTGGACTCGCTTTGTAGACCAGGCTGGCCTTGAACTCGTATAGAGATCCACCTGCCTCTTCCTTCTGAGTAATGGGATTAAAGGCCTGTTAAAGGCCTGTTCCACCACCACCTGGCTCTGTATGCTTTTGTTTTGAAAAGATATGGAACTGGACTGGAGAGATAGCTCAGAAATTAAAAGCACTTTAAGCACTTTCTGCTCTTCCAGACGACCTAAGTTCAGTTCACAGCACCCACATCAGCCAGCTCACAACAGGTCTGTAACTGATTCTGGGGGGAGTTGATGCTCTCTTCTGGCCTCCTTGGGTATTGCATACACACGCTCCCCCACCCCATGCCACCCTACCCCATACACTGCAAATGAAAAGATCTTTAAAAACATAAGAGCACGATGGAGAAATCTTAATGTCTCTGGGTAGAGGGAAGGAGAATAAAAATGCTATTATCACATTTCCATCAGTGGCCCTGAGGAAGATGAAAAGAAGAGGGGTCAGAAAGGAGGCCCCTCTTTTAAACATGGCATCTAAGGCTGGCTGTGTAAGTCAATGGTAAAGTATTTGGCACACATGAAGCTCTGAGTCAACGATGATCCATCTGCTTGGTTACCCATTTCTTCCCTTCCCTAGACCCTCTTAAACATAAAATGCAATGTTGGTTCACAATGCATAAGCCAGGAGACCAGGAAGTCTAAGCAGAGCAGAGAGGCAGCTGACGATAAAAAATCCCACCTTCAGCCTGGGCTGCCTGAGGTCCTGTTGTAAACCCAGCACCCAATCCTGTTCTTGCTATTGGCAGACTGTGTATTCTCACTGATTCCATTTTCCCCTCATGAAAAGGATGGATCATGTCTGTACTTTCCAGGTTAGTTCCCAAACAAAAATGATGTCCTAGGCGTCACAAATCAAGGGAGGAAAAAAAAAAATCAAGGGAGATTTCTTAAAGTATCAAGTTCAAAGAACATCACTCACCCTGTTTGCTATTTTTTCCTTCAGAAATGGTTTTATGATGGCAAAAATGCCTTTAAATATTCGAGGTTCGTTCACTATGTGGACTGCTTTTATCCGAATGGGGAAGCCATCCTGTGGGTGGGAGGGACACCATGTTAGAACATCTGTAATATTTGCAAACTGTCCCCTCCGCAGCTGCCCTCCCCATCTAAACCATAAAAAGTCCAGCCCCAGTCCTGCCTGACTCTCACAGCCTCCTCAGAGCCAGCCATGGTGTGAACAAACAGGAAGACAAGTTTTGAGAAAGTCTGGGTCCGAAGGGCTAGCAAAGAGGTAGGGAGCCCTCCTATAGCAGCAAACAACAGCCCAAGTGTGCAGAGAAAGAGTTGTAAAACAATAGGCCTTCCAGGTCAGAGCTGTGCCACTGTACTTCCCAAGGTACACCACATATGATATGAGGCAGGGCTGCTTGGGAAACATATGAGCCAGAGGCATGCAGAGTCAAACAGGTTTCTTTACATGAATCTAGTGGTGCAGACCTGTAGCCACAGGAAGCTGAGGTAGGAGGATTTTGAGTTCAAGGCCTGTCTGGTTAGTATGGTGGCTTGCATGAGCTGTCCCCCCAAGGCTTGGGCATTTGAACACTTGGTCCCACTTGGTGGCACTGTTTGGGAAGCTGAGGCGTGACCCCCTGGAGGAGGCAGGGCCCTGGGCATGGGCTTTAAAAGCATACAGCCTCACAGTATTTTGGGTGTTCTCTGCTTTGTGCTGCTAGTGAAGAAGTCTGCTTTCAGCCTCCTGTCCTGCCACCGTGCCTGACTCTTGATGCCATGCTTCCCTGCCGCGATGGACTCATTTCTCTGGAACTATGTGCAAAATAAACTTATTTTCCTATAAGCTGCCTTGGTCATGGTGTTTTATCACAGCTACAAAAAAAGTAACTAATATACAGAGTAATTTCAAGGATAGCCAGGGCCACTTGGGGAAACCCTGTCTCAGTACACTGATGTTTGCAGTGAAATTCACAAGAAAGGGACACATTAAGTCACATAGTTCCCAAACTAATTTAATCCTGGAATTCTGGTCCTTTCTTGGTGATCTTACATTAGTAGAGAAATAGAGATACAGACTCAACCCCAACACTGTATGTATGTGTTATTCAGCAGTAGCCATTACTAGGAGCTGGGAAAATAGCTCAGCAGTTAAGAGCACTGACTGCTCTTCCAGAGAACCTGGGTTTGATTTCCAGCAGCCATTTGTCAACTGACAACTGTCTGTAATTCTAATCTTAGGAAATCTGACACTTTCTTCTGGCTTCCTCAGACACTAGGCATACACATAGATATACATACATCCATATATGTAAAATAATTAAAAAAAGAAAGGTAGAACCAGGGAGGTAGCTCAGTGGTTGAGTGGTTGCCTAGCATACAGGAGGTCCTGAGTTCTGTTCATAGCACAAGAAAATAAAAATAGTAGAAGCTAAGGAAAATCAAGACTTTCAAATTAACAATGATGGAGCTATGCCTGGTGGAGGAGGATTAGGTCAGTCTTTGGCTACAAATCAAATTGAGGCCAGCCTTGACTATAAGAGATTCTTCTCAAAAGCCAAATAAAATGATGACCAATGTGGAAGTGGTCTGTTTATGTAAGTTGATTCACAGTGGGGACTTGGACATCTGTGGAAGCCAGTAACAGGCACTTGCACCATTGGCACCTCAAAGCTCACAAGAGGCAGCACTCAAGGGGCAGGCCAGTAAGCAAGAGCTCAACCTCTTGTAGCTGTGGGATGAGCAGGCTACTTCTCAAGCCCTCAGCTGCCCCACCTATCAAAAAGGAAAACAAGTTCTTGTCTGCCTCAGTGTGTTCCCTGAAGGACCGAACTGCAATGACAGCGGCATTGAAGCACACAGATAAGAGGTACCTTCTGCAGGTACCTGTGGAGAAGTGACAAGAAGGACTGAAGATTATTCCCACTGATGGTGGGAAGTGGGGTCTGTGTAATCCTCCATAAGACGACAGTAAGGGGACAGGGCTGTGGTGGAAAGCAAAGAACCACAGCTAGGGGTACGTGGTGAACAGGAGCCATACCTGAAGGATGCCAATCACCTTCTTGGCTATAAAAGGACCAAAATGAGATGCTTTAGATAAGCTCACTCCTTTGTAGTCAGCGAGAATTACAATTCCGTTCACTTGGGTCTCCTCGGACTGAATGAGTTTTTCTAATGTCAAATAAATGGCTCGGATGTTCTCGGTAATTGGGTAGTTGCTCGGTATCCATCTGTCTGAGGTCACAAGAGATAGACCGCGTTATAGAATGAATATAAACATCTATGCAGAGAAAGATACATCTTCTAAAACCTTGGCCTTACAATGAAAGATATTCTTGTCACAATAATCCTGCCCAGCAGCTGATGTTTCGTAACCTCCCAAGCCCAGCAGAGATGAAACATCTGGAGATGAAACCACCACTGAGTGTTGAGGTTAAAAGCATAAGCTCTGAAGTCAGACATGCTGGCCTCTGACTAGCTGTGTGACTTTGGGCAACATGCTTCAGTACTCTGAGCCTCTGTCTCTTAAGTAAACAGGTAGGCTACCTGCCTTCTCGGCCACCTCTGCTTCCTGCCATCAAGTACTATCACACCACCACCCCAGTTTTCCATTCTGGTCACACAGGTTGCACAGAACTGGCTTGACTGATGACTCCAGGGAGGGTAAGAGATGAGGATTGGCTGGACAGTCTGGTATGACATCCTAGCCAGAGCCTGTGGTCTGAGCCAGGTCACACTGAGCCAGATGCCATCTAGGGTGTGGTTCTTGGGAAAGAGAAGATCTCTTCCTCCCTCTCATAGCTGTGAAGCTGTGAATCTGAGGCCCAGATACCCATGAGGCCAGAGGTGGCCTGAGAATGACGCACAAGCCATGGCTGGCAGAGTCACTTCTCCCGTTCTGTCCCCTCAAGTCTAACAATCCAGATGTCACCCAAGTAAAGGAGTTCAGTTGGTTGAAGCTGGCTTTTAGTCCTTTGCCATCTAAAGTGAGGGTCCTAACTCACACACACCTCCAGAGGTGTTACAGGAGGAAGCACGGCTGTGTTCCATAAAGTCCTTCCTCAAATTCCTCCTTGCAGGATGTACGCTTCATTAATATTTGCATGTTTAATGATTCCTCTCTTTGGAAAAAGGATAAAAGAATGGCAATGGTATTTTTGACAGTTAATCACTATTCTTTTTTCACTTTTTTTTTTTTTTTTGGCAGGGGTGAAAGGGTCGAGACAGAGTCTTACTCTGTGTCCAAGGCTGGTCTTGAACTTTCAGCAATCCTCATGAGGGTTGGGATAATAGGCATGGGCCACCATGCCCAACTGGTAACTGCTATTCTCAAGAAAATCTTAACCAAGATCTTATGTCCTGTAGAAAGACAAAGCTTAGTCAGGTGCTGTGGCTCACACCTGCACTCCCAGCACTTGGGAGGTGGTGATAGTTAGAACAGGAGTTCAGGTCTTCTTCAGCTACACAGAAAGCTGAAGGTCAGCCTGGGCTACATGAGACCCCTAAATGCTGGGGGAGGGGGTCCTAGTCCTCAGTGGTATGGCTACTCATAATATCCCCTTGCTCAGGTAAATAATCCCCGATCTATGCTCATGCAAGCAACCCTACTAAAATGCAGTGTGTGCCATTCCGACTCGCCCATTCCCTGCAAGGGGCTGAGGCACAAACACTGAGGGCTTCTTGGAAATAAGAAGGGGCTTGGAGATTCAGAGGGAAGGGTGATAAAGAATAATGGGGATTATGATCAAAGTAATGATATATATGAAATCATAAAAAGAATACATTAAAATTTCATCTTGCTAGCAACAGGATATGCAATATGCATAAAATTATTTTCTTTTTAAAAATATTTTTGAGTATGTATATATGATACATGTACCCAATTATGTGTGAGGAGACTTATGTAAGAAAGAGCATGTTTGGAGGTCAGAAGACAATCTTGGATTGTCACTCTCCCCTTTTATTTGGATTCTAGGCTTATGGGGCAAGTGATTTTACCTGCTGAGCCATCTCACTGGCCCTATGCAAATTTTGGCCAAACTGGGTGAATAATGTTCACATGAATTAAGCCTGCTGCCATACAAGTGCATATCATCTTTTCAATCACATACACTTCAAGAGCTTAGAAAAAGGCAATGTAAATCCCAGTTAGGAACACAAGTTCGTAGGTATGCTTCCTCCTAAGAAGCTGGGTCAGCAGGGAGGGATCCAGATCTCATCCAAACTGGAGGACAATATTCATGTCACAAGTGCAGCCACGTGCCAGGAGGAGGAGCAGCCAGCATGGTGCCATCTGATAATGCTTCTATGAGCTGAGCTAACAGTAGCAGGAAAAAGCTTGCTGGCTGGTTTCTAGGTCTCCTGGTGCTCAGAAATCTTCACTGCTTATTTTAAAATAAACACCTAATTTCAGAAAATGCCTAGCACAGCAGGTAAAGCAGCTCCAGCTATGTGTGACATGTGGTGCAGGGTGAAGAGAATGGTCTAGACTGCAGAGACAGTTTGGTAAAAGGCTAGAAGGAAACATGATGTGAGGCATCCAGGCAGAGGGAAACATGTGGAGGTGGCCATTTGGTGACACTCCTTCAGACAGAGGGCTGCCAGCACTGGCTCACTTCCTGGCCTGCTTAGGAGGAATGCTGTAATCTAACTCTCATTCTTTATGGGCGCTGCAATGAGGGGCTGCGAGAGGAATGAAGGCTTTTTCTTCAATTGCACCTGGTGCCCAGGAGACAGAACTAGGAATCAGAAGGCTGGAGTTCCTGCACCCTCCATTCACTAGCTAAAACATTTCTAATTTTTTCCCTTTTATTAGCTTCTCCTAGGGTTACAGTTTTAAATGCTGTCTGTGGGGAGCTTCCCTGGCTACAGACGACTGTGCCAAAGATCTGAGAAGAGCCAACATGGCAGGAACAGAAATGTGTTTTCATTATCTTTCCTGATACCTAAGCTGCCATCTCCTCTCTACTGTTTGAATAGTAAAGTCAACAGACTAGAAGGTAGAATAAACAGATGTGATAATGTTTATTTATCTTTGAGTCTACCATAGTTCTTTGTGTAATATTAAAAAGACATGGTTTTGTTGTTTTAAGTTGGACACATACCTTTTCCAGCACTGGGGGCAGAGGCAGGTGGATCTCTGTGAGTTTGAGGTATGCCTGCTCTAAATAGCAAGTTCAGGACAGACAGGGCTACATAGAAACTTCATCTAAAAAAAAAAAAAAAAAAAGAAAGAAAGAAAAGGAGAGAGAGGGAGGGAGAGGGAGAGATACACTTTTTTTTTTTTTTTTTTAAAAGTAAGCTACACCAAGGAGCATATGAAGTCAAGGGGTTCTGATCATAGCTCAGTGGCACAGCTCCTAAACAGCTGGTGCAGGCCAGGGTTCCATTCCCAACACTGCAAAAATAAAGTGAATCTTGTCAGGGTTTAACCCAACAGAGGAAAGGAGGGGTGAGGGGAGGAAGGCACAGAATAGGCACTTTCCAGGCTTTTGTGCAGCCCACACTACCTCACTTCTATCTGTACTCAATTCGCTCAGGGCAGATGCTGGGAGGGGCTTGGCAAGCATGTTTGCATCCCATGACCAAGAGCAGATTCCTCAGCCCACTGCAGTCTCTCCTTTGGAAACCTGGGTTTGCAATGACAGAAGTTCACTGGGTGGCCAGGTGAGCCTGAAGACTGAGAGGGGCCAGATTTAACTTGAGGAGGAAAAGCATGGCGAAGCTACCGGTGCCAAGCACAAACAGTGCTAGGGTTCTATGCTCTGGGGTCGAGTTCCTGGTCAGAGTGGCAGCATCTTTGGAGCTGTTTCTACCTGATTTGGTCAAGTCTTCCTTGTGGTCCTCAGGTAGTCTGAGGAAGGTTTTACTATCTGTAGTCAAAAGAGCTTTAAGACCAGCCATGGTAGCTTATGCTTAAAATCTTAGTACTCAGGAAGTAGAGGCAAGAGGGTCAGGAGTTCAAGATTATCCTCTGATGCATAGTGAGTCTGAGATCAGCCTGGACTGTTTTAAAAAGCCAAAACCAAACAAGAAAAGAACTTCACTAAAACAAGGAAGTGGGAGGAACTATGAGAGAAAACAGAGTGAAGGTCAGACCAATCTCAGAGACCACACATCCCCCTAGTACCTGGTCGGATGCAGAGAACATGGCAGCCTCTGGGGTCGGTGTGGGGCAGCACCGTGAGGAATCCGGAGTTGAGAACGTCTTTCAGGGCCGAGGGTCTCAGGTTGCTGAAGACCTCTGGCCAGCTCCGCCTGCAGCCATGGTAGTTGACCAGCAGCTGCAGGGCCCGGTCATAATCGAACTTTCGAGCCCGCAGGAAGCGCAATAGGAAGGCATCATCCAGCGACGTGCTCAGGTACGGGTACTCCTTCCGCACCATATCTCGAAGGGCCTGCACATCCCGGAGTCTCCACTCGGGCTTCTCCTGAAGCTCTTCTCTGGCTTTGGAGACCAAGTCTTCCGTCAGGGAGCACACATAGCTGGGAGGTTCGGGCGGAGGAAGTGGCAGCTCATTTTCGGAGAGTGAGGCCACAGAGGGGCTGGTTCTCAGTGAGTCACTTTCTTCTGACATTAGCTATCAGGGTCCCTGCTGACAACACAGGCCACAAGTGAGGTTAAGAAAGTGCAGCGTGCAGCCAATGGTGGTGGCGTACTCCTTTAATCCCAGCACTTAGGAGGCAGAGGCGGGTGGATCTAGATGAGGCCAGCCTGGTCTACAGAGTCCAGGACCACAAGGGCTATACAGAGAAACTGTTTTTTTCTTTCTTTTTTTTTTTTTTAAAAGCACATCATGGGCCTTCTGTTAATGGTTCAACAGATAACTTTTACCACATGAACCTAATGATTGCCCAAGTCTGATCCTGAGATCTCACAGAAAGATTAAGAGAGAGAATTAACCCCATTGGTCTTCTGTCCTCTCCAGAAACTTGGTATGTGCATATTCATAAACTTACATGTATGTGTGTGCAAGTAAGTTTTAAAGGTGAAGCACTGATTACATGGGACACCAGGAGCAGCAAATGGGGGGAAGGTGCTGAGGGTTTTTTCTAAGTTACCTCAGGGAGGTGAGCCCCAAGGAGGAATGACTGTGACCTGAATCACATACCTAAGTCAAATCCAACAGCTAAACACTACACCTTCCTTGGAAGGCTCTTAATAGAGGCTTGACTTGTTGTTACAGAAATGTGAATGTTAACAACTTTGAGATTCAAACCCTGTTTAAACAACAACAGACAAACAAACAGGTTCTCTAAAATACTGGTCAGAATATAAACAGAATCTTTCCAGAGAGCAGTTTGTCAATACGGAAATTCAAAACTAGGCTGGAGAGATGGTTCAGCCAGCAAAGTGCCCATTATTTACATAGAAGCCAGGGATAGCTGCATGTGAGTCTGTCGCTCCTATGCGGGGGGAATCGGGGTGGGGTGGGGCAGAGACAGGAGGATCCCTGGGGCCCATTGGCCAGGCAGACAAGTGGAGTAAGTGAGCTCCAGGTTGTTAGACTGTCTCACAATACAAGGTGGAGGGCCAGCAAGATGGCTCAGGAAGTAAAGACACCAGACACCAAGCCTAACAATGTGAGCTTGAACACACATGGTGGAAAAAGAGAATTGACTCACACAAGCTGTCTTCTGATCTCCCTCACACACTCCCTACTGTGGCCTGAGCATGCCCCCCCCCCCAATAACTAATTGATCAAGGAAGACAGCCAACATTGACATCACACAGAGAGATACAGATCTTCATGAACCGACATATGAAGGAAAAAGCCAGAAGAGAGTACAGTTAAAAAAATTCACATTTGTGTGAAAGGAGATAAAAAAAAAAATCTTATCAACAGTTACCTCTAAGAAGTAGATCTGAACAACTGGACATTTAAGAGATCTCTTTTTTTAACCATACTGTTTTGTTTGTTTTGTTGGGAGACAGTCTCACTAACATAGCTCAAGGTGGTCTGAAACTTGCTTACCCTCTTGCCTCAGCCTCTAGAGTGCTGGGGTTACAAGTGACACCGTGTACAACTTGCTTGAATTTTCCTTTCACAATGTAATTTGCTATAGTGATTGTGGGAATGTGTCAGATCTGTTGCTAAGGAAATGTAACGAAGGGGCCCAGCTGTTGTCCCTTCAGTGGCACTAATGAATCTAATGGATCTAATGAAGGCCACACTTTGTACAAACACCCTCTAGTGAGTGACCAAATAACTCCAAAAGGCAACCGTGGTTCAAGGGCTGTTGGTCTGGCTGGACTCTTCCTGTCTAAATCTCCTTTCCAGGGTCCAGACCTACATCACTGACTGGAGGCTCTTCCTTTCTCATCTCCATTCCTCTATCGGTGTAGGCACTCCAACAAACTCCACACACTGTCTGTCCATCTGTGGATCCTAGGGCTTGATTTGGGAAAACCTGCACTGACACACTATTGAATGAAAAACGGGACAGCTGCTTGCACTCTCTGGCTGCAGAGCCTAAGCCTTTGTCTGTGAGTGAATGCTGATCTTCCATCGCATGCTCAGCAAGAGCAGGGACGATCTCAGAGTCCTTGTACATACCTGTAATGCCCTGGCTGAACTCCCTCTGGCCCACTGCAGCCAGAGACCAAGCAGGCCACGCCCTCCAAATCTCAGGCTTGCCCACTCCATATCTTGAATTCTATCGTCTAGCCCCACCAGCTTCTTTTTTTTTCCCCCCACCAGCTTCTTGCACTTGCTTCCAAATGTAGTGAGGACATCCTCACTCTGTGCATATTCTGGTTCCTCTCAATGGTGTTGTTCCTCCAGCTCCTCCCAACCCACACACATTCACCCTAAGTCCTGACTGGATGACACACAGGTTCCCAACAAGTATTAAACACTCATGCTGTACAAGGTTCTTTTCCAGGCACTGAGGTTGCAGAAATCAAGAAAAACCCTGCTTCATTGAGCCCAGTAGAGATAGGAGGAATTCCTAACCATGATATGCAGTCCACTGTCATGAAGAGGAAGAACAGGGAGTGGGCTCAGGTTTGCATTTTTAAATAGGGCAGTCAGGGAAGGCTCGCCTAGGTAACATCTGAGCAAAGATGAGAAGACAGGATGAGCCAAACACATCATGTGGTTGGATGGGGGCATGTGGAAAATGCCTGGCTTTTCTGAAAAGCAAGAAGCCCACCCAGTGCAGCCAGAGTTAAGGAAGCAAGGTGGGAAAAAGTAGATGGATCCAGAGACCCATTGGAGGTAATGGCCAGGGCACTGTAGGTCAGTAAGAGCTTCAGACTTTTGTGCTGAGTGAAGAGGGGCAGATCGATTTCGACATGATCTGATTCCTACTGAAAAGGATTGCTCTGTTGTCTCAGGGATAAACTAGGGGTGTGAGATGGCTTACTTGTAGCTCCAGCCTGGCTACCTGAGTTCAATCCCTGGAACTAACTTCACTGAATTTACAAAACCCATGTAAAAGTGGGAGAAGACCAACTCAAGGCTGACCGCTGACCCCCAGCTGCGCCATGCTGTGTGCACCCACACATCACACAAGTGATAGTGAAGTGACTTTAATTTTAAAAATGAACTGTAAGGAAGTGACGATACAGAGCAATGGTTCTCAGCCTTCCTAACGCTGGGATCCTCATGTTGTGGTGACCCCCCCAAACATAAAATTATTTTCGTTGCTACTTCATAACTGTAATTTTGCTACTATTAGGAATCATAATGTCAACATCTGTGTTTTCCAATGGTCTTTGTGGGTCATGACCCACAGGTTGAGAACCACTGATATAAAAGATTCACCAGTTCTGACGAAAGGGTACAGCGACATGAAGAAGTCAGCCTGCACTTACTCTAGGCTGTCTGAGCTGCCGGGACGTGAGCTCTATCGTCTAGCACATCTCCCATGCTTGTCATGTCTGTGGGTAACCAGTGTGTGATACCCAGGTCTTGTTCATTAACTTGAATGTAGCCCCTAAAAAGGTATTAAGACATAGAGGACCCACACCATAAATACTTTATTTTAACGTACTTTGCAGAGGTAAGCGGAGCAAGGAATGGGACAATCCTGACCTCACAGGATCTATCCTGGGCTGTTTCCACGCCTGGAATGCCAGTTCCCTGCCTACCTGAGACTGACTGTCGTGCCACAGGATAGCCTCAAAGGCCCTCTTCTTTCCTCTCCCACCCCTCCCCTGCCAGGGAGGACGAACTAATGACCCACCCACCATTCTTGAACTACCTCACACACTTAACACCCTCTGCATGAAAGTTCCTCTCCATGTTTGCCACCACCCAGACAATTCATCCTTTTCAAGGCCCAAATGCAATGGCATCTATTCTGTGAAGCCCATCTGGCTTCCTCAGGGTGAGTTCCTCCAGGTTTCCACAGCACTTCGCACCTATCTTTAGAAGTGTCTGTTCAGTGTCACAGGGGTTTACATGAAACCCTTCGGAGTCAGTTCCCACCCATTCATTTATCAAAGAATTACTGACTGCCTCCTGTATGTGGGAGGCATTGTGCTGATGGATGCTAGGGACACAGCAGAAAACAATAAACCCTTGCCTCGTGCAGCTTACATCACGGAGGACTGGTGCGAAGAGGTCATACAAGCTTAAGCGTTGTCTCAAACTCTGCACCGTCCATCCATTTTTCTTATTTCTTCCTGCGTGTTGATGGAGATAAAACCCAGGATGACAGGCACCACTCTACCACTGAACTACCCGGTCAACTTCACATTTCATCTTGGAACTATTGAGCGAGCGCACAACCATCACTGTTTCCACTTTGCAAAGGAGGAAACAGAGAACTTGCCTGCCAGGGTCACCACAAGCCCCAGTGCCGGCTTATGACAGCACTCAGTAAACATCAGGGGAAGTTTGGCAAGCTCAGTGAGGCAGAGCATATCGTCAAGCCCCACCCAGGCCTCATCATCTTTCTCCTCCACCTGCAGCTTCCTGTTGGGTCCCCAAGGGCTCAGCAGTAGCTGTCAGCCTGGGGAAACGACGTGATGGGTGGCCCTGGGAACAGGACACAATGCCTGACATCCTCTCCACCTGGCGCTACCTCCCTGTGGAGCATTCCCTCTCTCCTACAACAACAGGAGGCAGGAAGCCATCTCTCTCGGAGCCCCAGAGACCTCCGTGCAGCTGACAGCGATCCAAGGTCCCTACTTCCGGTCTTCGCCCCCTCCTCAGGTGTCCCCATTTCCTGGGGTCTCCCGCCCCTCTGGCCCACTTCCGGCGGCTTCGCCCTCTCCGGTCCCTATCTCTGGCCCCTAGGCGCACGCACGGGCTCGAGGGCACTCACCAGCCCGGCGGCGGGCGGAGCGCGGGTCACGGCGGCAGGAGCCTCGGCTGGCAGCGCGCGCAGAACAGACCCGCACTCCCCAGCCGGCCGGCCCGGCCCTCGCGCCGGAAGTGACGTTCAGAGCGCGCGAAGGCGGTGCCTCCCCGGGAGTGCGCAGGAGTGAACTTTGCATGGTTGGCTTGGGTCTGTCCCCATCTGGTGGCTCCGGGCCGTTCAGCCGTGTGTGTAGATAGGGAAATTGTCCTGGAGGAGGAAAACAACAGCTTCCCTAGAATATACTGCCATATGCCCACTGTTCTACATCGTTTTCTCATTAAGTCGTCACGTTTATGCAAATCCCTCTACTTCATGACAGGGAAGTGGCAAATCGGGGCAGAAAATAGTTTCAGACTCATACCTAAGGAATATCATTCCAAAACTCCTCGGTTCTTAGCTGACATCTGGACTGTTGTTTGGTGTCAATACGCCATCAGCTGAGCCACTTTGGCAAAATGCCCTAGCTTCCTGGCCTCAGTTTCTTCGTGAATAACACGATTCTTGCCCTGGACCCCAACTCAGAAGCTACCTGTTTCCTGCTTTGGGGCTCACAAAGTTAACTCCAAACTGCAGTAGTTTAAAAAGGAGTTTACTGGCTCTACATCTGGCGCGTTAACTACCCTCACCATACACATATCCATGTTTTGTGTAACCGTAATTTGGGGGCAAATTTCTGAGGTTCCTCTTTCAGGGAGAGTAAGGACAATGGATCATTTCTAGAAATAAATTCTGGTGGTGGAAGAGAATATCGGATGCAAAGGGATGCTTTTAAGTTACATCTTTTTTTCCCCTACCTTATGGATAAGAGGAGTTCTACGGTAGTGGGCAGTGACCAGCAGGGACACAAAGACACGTGGGTTTTGCCAGATGTTAAACTGCATGTGTGGGAGGAGTGTGAGGTGGCCTGGGAATCCTGAGTTGTGTTTATCTGTTTGTTTGTTTTTAATATAGGGTGCCATTGTGTAGACCAGGCTGGCTCCCAACTCATGATTCTTGTGCCTTTGCCTCCTGAGTGCTAGGGTGTCAATGTGTGCCACCACCCCAGGTTAGAAGTCGTGAGACCTGTGATCTGAGGTTCTCTCCAGTGCCCAACCTCTAGGTTGCCAAATAAAATACAGAACACTCGGTTAAACTGAAATTTCAGATAAACAGAGGTCTGTTTTTAAGACTGGGTGCCTTAGGTAACATCCGGAACACACTTATACTTTAGAAACCTTTGTTTCTTAGAAATTCAAATTTAAGTAGGTGTCCCATTGCTCCCCTTGCACCAAAGAAATGTATAAGCATATAAACAGCTCACGGGTATCCTTCCCCCTTGTCTTCGGGACACAGTTTTGCTTTGTACCCCTGGCTGCCTTGGAACTCATTGTGCAGAACAAAGTGCCTTCAAACGTGCAGCATTTATTTTGCCTCCGCCTCCCAAGTTCTGAGATGACAGATCTGAGCTGCCATGCTCTGCTACAAACTATACTCTCTTAAAATTGTACATTTTGTGTATGTGTTCGCACACACTTATCACGTGCATATGTGAAGGTCAGAGGGCAGCTAACAAGAGTCAGTTCTCTCTTTCCCCCATGTAGGTCAAATCCAGGTCAATAGCTTGGCAACAAGCATCTCCACTGATCAAACCATCTTGCTGGACCCTCTTTTGCTTATTTTAATTTTTTTGAGATATTTTAACATGTTTCGGGCTGTCCTGAACTATGTAGCCGAGGATGAGCCTGAACTCCTGATTCTCTTGACCCCAACAAGGCATTACAGTTGTGAGAGTCCTGCTTGTTTTGAAATAAGTCATGTTTTAAAAAGATTTATTCTTTATTTTTATTTTCTGCTTATGGGTGTTTTGGCTGCTTTACATTTGTGCAGCACTCTCAGAGGCCAGAAGAGGGCATTGGGTTCCCTAGAACTGGAGATAGAGATAATGGGCAGCTGCCATGCAAGTGCTAGGAGTAGAACCACCACCACCCCCACCCCCACCCCCGTCTAGTAGAAGGGCAGAAAGCGCTCTTAACTGCTGAGTCATCTCTCTAGACCTTTGAAAGAATTCTTCAAGCTACAAATTGAATTTGACTTTCTGTAACTGCTTTGTTTTTATAAGACCCAGGTTTTAATAAGTGAAAACCAAACTGCCTACCTCCCTAAGTGGTGTGTGTGTGTGTTCTTGTACATACTCAGGTTGTGTGGTTTCTGCAGCAATACACACATAGCAGGCACTCACTGTGTGTCCCCTGTGACTCATCAGAAAGACTTAGCTGTATGATCTGAGAAGCATTAGCAACACGGCTAGAAATGCTTAGGTTTCTCTGGGCTTACTGTTGGTCAGCCGTGAATCCCAGAGCATCTAAAATGGCAGACTCTCACAGCTCGGCTACTTTTTTAATTTCCATTTTTACATGGCTCAAAGAAACTACGTGTGGCCACACAGGATCTGATAAAGCATTTTAGCTTTTTTGTTGTTGTTGTTGTTATTTGTTTTTAAATTTACATTTACATACCTATTTGTTTAGTCTGTATGTGGCACGTGTATATGTGATTCGGGTGTTGGTGTGGCGCATGGCACATGTGTGGAGGTCAGAGGTCAACTTTTGGAGAATCTTTTTTTTTTCTCCCTCTACCACGTGAGTCACTCAGGCCACCAGGCTTGCTGCAAGCTCCCTTACCAGCTGAGCAGCTAAAACTTTGTAAACACCGTCCCTCACCCAACCCTTGTTAACTGAGGTGGGGAGAGGTGGGGCCTCGTGAGTTGTTCCTTTGTGTCTGGCTTTGAACGCAGAACCATCTAAACCAAATACCTCATTGCTGTTTATTAGTTTGGTTATTTGGTGGGAGGGAGGGGAGGTGCAGATTGAACCTAAGGGCCTCATAGGAACTGTGCCCACACTACTTTATGCTTGGCGTTTAGTGCTGTTCGCAATAATAACTTCCACCTGCTGGGCAACTGCCCTCGAGGGTGGCACGAAGTTCTTGGGCAGGGGGCAGGGGGCAGGGCTGGAACTCTGAGAGATAGGGGGACTTGCCCAAATTATAAAACAAGTGAATGGCAGTGAGGTTGGGTACTGGAGTTTTGGGATAGGGAGGGCTCACGCTAGCTCTTGCGAAGCTAAAGGACACAGCATCCCATGCCCGAGCCTCACCGGTCTCACTTGCTGGGTCTGCCCTAGTCTGAGGTCAACAGTTGCCCAACCAGTGGTTTGAAGCCTGGCTTGGCTGGAAAACTGTCCAGACCTGAGCTGGGGTGGGGGTGGGGATGGCGGTCAGAGGCTTGGCAATCTCGGGAGACATATGTGACTTCAATCAGAGGGTCGTGGGAAGCTTGTGACCCCCGGCCCCAGGCCTGGCGTGCCTCGAGTGCCAGAGACTTGTTTCTCTGCGTGCCACCTTCTGCTCAAGAGCCCAGAATCAGGCCCCCGAAGGGAGGCATCCAGGTCTCAGAATGGGAGCAGAATAGTGCCCAGGGCTTAGCCATGTGGATTTCCCAGAAGAGGTCAGAGCCAGCTGTGTTTTTGCGGTCACACATTGATCTCCCTGAGTCAGCATGGCTGCTTGGAGGGACAGGATGTCCTGTCTGTTCCCAGGGGCTTTGGATTTCAGCCAGACTGAATATTTTCCAAAACATGGCCCTAAATGGTGATGGGGCAGGGATAGGAGAAATCCCACCCCTTGTCCCATCAATGCCAGCCTAAGAGCTCACCTCCCCTCTCATCGTTCCTGTACCTAGCCTAGACCTAGTTCTGACCACACACCTGGCACTGTACCAGGCTCTGTGTGTGTGTTCATGCTCCTAACTCCACAGAGGCACTGTGGAACAGCCTCAGATCTTCTGATTCCATGTGGCAGCTGAGCAAACGGACTCAGAGGTGCGTCCATAATCTCAGCATTCAGAAGGCTGAGGCAGGAGGATCTCAACTTTGAGGCCAGTCTGAGCTTTATAGTGAGTTCAAGGCCAGCCTGGAGTTACACAGTGACCATGAAATACTGTTGCAATAAGGGAAGGGGAAGGGAAGAAAACAGAGAAGTCAAGTGACTCGTGAATGGTCACACAGA